TATTTGGTCAAGAATTAACCTCTAAAAATTCCATGAGTATGTTTCAAGATCATAGGTGAGCTATTTGTGATAGCGATTCACAGATACGTATTGATGTAAATCTCACAACGAGCTGCACATAAATCCATGATTCAGAACCGTCGACTCACGCATAAACAGTATAAGTTTGTCAAACTAATACCAACAAAACTCATGTGATCGAGTATGAACTGACTGCATTGATGGAAAGGAACAATGATGAATGTTTCAAATGCAGATGATGAAATGTGCTCATGTGGATGCGGTACTTGATATCAGACAACAAACCACACGTTTGAATAATTAGTTTAATTAGGTTTAAAATTACTCAATGTACTGTGTTGAACTTGAACACAACGGCATTGGCTAGGCCAGCTCTTTGGTCTGGTGGTGGTGTGCGTGGCCATGGGTGGTGGTGGTGTGGGGAAGGCAAAATTGAAGCCATAAGTTTCGGGCAGTGGCTTTATAGTTGGTGTAGGGCCATTGGCTTTACACGTAGTTCCATGTGATTAGCCCACTCCATGAACTTGTAATGATGGTTCTCGAACAGCATCTTCAGGAAGAAAACACAAAAGACCCCCCCACACAACAAAGATTATTCTTTTAGAAAACTTGATTGCTGTTATCATTATATATTCTCTTCTGCACTCCCCACTTCCACTAATATAATAAAATTTGGTCTCATTTTATAATCCCAATAGCCAAGCAAATCGCTTCTAATTTATACAATCCAAAAGCTCTTGCACTAAGCCCCCTCCCCCACATCCTCGAAAAGATTGAGAAAAAAACACATATTAGCTAGTGTGAATAATTAATTGTTCCTTATAAATTTGGCTGGGAAGGAGCTGCATGGAGAATACACAAGAAGGTGATTTTAATGCTTCCTTCAGCTGACTGTTATTGGAATCATTAGGGAAATAATGCAGTCTTGTCAAAATTATATTTTCTCATAGGATAAAAACTTGGTTGATCAAGTTCCAATGGAAAAGGGTATTGACTTGCAAATCAGAGGTCTCAGGTTCGAATCTCATGGCATCATATAATTGTGTGTGTGTGTGTGTGTGTGAGAAATCTCCCTCCCTGTAATTTATAATTTGTACTAAAAAAAAGACTTTGGTGATCAAAGGAGGTAGGATGTACTGGGAATTTGAGAAAAGACCATTTACTTCCCTCCAAAAACCACCCACAACTGAATTCCAAATCCACAAAAATACAGCTTTATTGGAATCATTGTGTTGTTTAATTAGCTATATATACTAAAGTTGTGATATATATACTTTCTTCCACATGCATTAGACCTATATATATTAAAGCTCCCACTACCAATCCCCCTCCATTCTTTAACACCCCAAGAATATTTGGCCAACAAAGTCCCCTACAACTTAAGTCTTAAGTCACAAGGCAAGCCTTTTATTTGAATATCAAAGTTCCAACTCAATATATATCCTCTTACATAAATAGTAGCTAGATCACACATACACTAAATACACAACAAAAACCACTTTCTCACATCTCTTTTGCTTTCTCTCCACTAACTACTCCTCAAAAAAGATTTCATCTTTATTTGCTTTTTCTCTTTGTTTTTGGATTGTTGTAGATCTACAAAGAAGAGATCAGAAATTTAAGATGATCCAAGAACTGTTTGGCGGTGCAGGCCTTAGTAACATAGCAGGAGGAGGAGAGAGGAAATTAATCTCCATTCATGGTGGTACAACTTCTTCTCCTTCTCTTTCTCCTTCACAATCTCCTTCTTCTTCCACAACTACTACCACCACCGCGACCGCCACAACGACGACGACTACAGGTGAGAACTTGAGATGCCCGAGATGCGATTCTTCCAACACCAAATTCTGCTACTACAACAACTACAACCTTACTCAGCCCCGCCACTTCTGCAAGACCTGCCGCCGCTACTGGACAAAAGGAGGAGCCCTCCGGAATGTCCCAATTGGCGGTGGCTGCAGAAAAAACAAGAGTGCCACCGTGTCAACGACTCCCATAGGCAAGGCCGCCTCGGGGAAGTTGAAAATGGTGGCATCGGAAATTGGACGGTCAGGATTCAGCGGGGGGTTCGACAACGATGTCCAAGCAAGTCCAATACTATGGGGCTCCCCTCAGAATTCTCATTTACTAGCCCTACTAAGAGCCAGTCATCAAAATCAAAACCCTAACCCTAACCCTAATCCTATATGCAATTCTGTAAATGTGAAGGAAGAGGGGGCTATGAATATGATTGGATCCCACATGATGACCACTGAGCCAGCAATGAGCACTGCTCGAACTCTGGGGTTGGATCCAGTGTGCCAGGCTCCTTCACTTGGTCTGTGCAGCTCTTTCTGGAGAAACAACAACCAAAATCAACAACCTCCACACCACAACCAACAAAACGGCTTCCCAGTTGGTCATGAGGTGCAAAGCAATATTGGAATTCAAGAACTGTTTCAGAGGCTAAGATCATCGTCGTCGTCATCAGGAGGTTATTATTCTGATCATTTAAATAATGTGGTGATGTCATCTTCTTCTTCTACATCCTCCATTTTGGATTCAACTCCGGCTGTTGGTGGCGGCGAAATGGGCTACTGGAACCCGGCATTTACCGCCTGGTCATCAGATCTTCCCACAACCAACGGTGCATATCATTAAGCCTTTTGTTAAGGGGATTTTTAACTTTGTGTTAGCTAGCTAGGTTTTTTTTTCTTTTCTTTTTTTTTCTTTTTTTTTAAATTTTGGTTATGTTTGTGTGGGTTGTGATATTATGATAGCTTTAGCATCAGTAGCTAATAGCTATCCTTCTCTTTCTTCTCTATCTGCATGTGTGTTTTAAGGTGTAAAGGATATGAGGGTGTACCAATTAAGGACCAAGAAATTAAATTAAACGTTTGTTATTTGTTAGTGTTAATTTCTTGATGTTATCACATTATTATTTGGCATAAAATAAGAGGGGTTATGCTTAGATCCCTTAGAAAAGTGTAATTCAGCAGTCTAATTATCCTAGTCAAGGGTAATGTAACAAATTTTGGGTTCCCCCTATATAGCTAGCTACAATTAATTATATTTCCTAAAGATCTAAATAAATTTATCTATGCAAGAAAATATCTGGAATAGTTGATTGGATCAATTGAGAGAGAGAGAGAGAGAGAGAGAGAGAGAGAGAGAATTAAGCACATACAGCTTCTTGGTTGACTAAACAAGTTTAGTTAATTGAGAGTCTATTTGGATTATATTAATTGATTAAGTGAAGTGAAGGTGAGGGTGGTAGTGTACAATACTGTTGGGGTGGTGGAAGGCACATGAAGATTCAGGGGTTGTGTTTGGTTACGAGAAAGTGAAGAATGAAGTGTAAAAAAAGCAGCCTTTGGAAAGAGTTTCCCTTTTATGCAGCGATTTGATTCTTATTACAGTCGGCCGTCAGAGGATTCCTTCTATACTTGCAGCCTTTGTAAAATCTGGTGTCTGCTCTCTGCTCTAATTGCCTGCTTCTCTGGAACTTGCTCATACTATACTTATTTATGCCCTTTGGGTGCTCAAACATCAAAAGGGCGCCATCTCTCTCTCTCTCTCTCTCTCTCTCTCTCTCTCTCTGGTATGTTCATAATTCTTTTTGTGTGAGCATGCATCTTTTTGAAGCTTAAAGTTTGCATGTATCAGAACTCTTAAGGAAATAGAGGGGCAAAAAAGAAAGAAAAGTAAGAAGAGCAAAATTTGGATAATATTCTGGCTAGGCCTATGGGGCATGTTTTTAGTATTTATCCAATATATATAGAACTTCAATTGAGGAAAAAATAAACTATAAGAACTCGAGTTTTGAGCAATAAGGATATATCATATGGTTAGCTACTTGATGTGAGTCAAGGCGCTTGACAAGACCATGATTGTATGATTGTATTGTGGCTGCACAATGCACATGCTGTGTGCGCTACCAGACTATGCTGGTTATGCTCCTACGGTCCCTGATTGGGACCCTAATCAGGATGGGCCTGCTTGCTTTCTAGAGTTGTTAAACCTGGACCTTCATTGCCCTCTTATAGAAAGGCATATAACTAAGTCTTTGTAAAAGTCTAGTTGGGGTCCAGGTTTATCAAGAACAAGGACAGAGAGAGAGAGAGGGAAAGAGAGAAACTGCAATTTCGTGATAGAAAAATTTCACCACTATGAGTAACTAAGAGATACCAATTGTCAAAAAAAGTTTGCAGCTCAAGTGGTTAAGAACATTCGAATTTCTCTCCCCTATTGTCGTTTGTATCCAAAAACGAAAAAAATTAAAAGAGGGTACCATTTGTCTGACCCAAATTTCAATTTTGTTATCGTAATTTTCTTGGTAGTTTGAATTCTCTGTAGTTTGAATTCAAACAACTGTGGAGGGAAATGTGGAGCTCTGCTCAGTGGGCACCATTAGGCCGCTCTTAGAGGGGAATCTGCTCTTTTTGCTGATGTTAATTAATTAGATGGTACTCTTTTCGCTTGATAATTTCCTACTTGATTGCTTATTGCACAATGAAAAATCTTGAAGACATTATTTCTGACTGAGCAACTAAAAAGGAACATAAGATGAGTTTTTGGGTCAATGCAGCTTGAGCTTGTGGTTGAACTCTAAAATGAGTTTTTGGATCAAAATCATGTTGGCATGTTCAAAGTCCTAAATGTGTGACAAACTTTCAAATGAGACTAATTGAAGCCAATCTTCTGAGCAGCATTGTTGGACTTATTGTATAGAAATGAACGTGTCCTATGGGAAGCACAACATATGATATTAGACATGAACATGTAAGAGAAATTAATCCTTTTTGGGACTGTAGCAGTAAGAAATCTAACACAATGACACTTTAAAACATCTTATTTCCCTCACCCTAAACCTGTTTCCCCATTCTTTTTTCGACAGTCACACCCTCGTAACTGAAACTTAAGAACTACCCAATTTTAAGAAAGAAAAAAAATGAAAGAACATACAGAGTTACATGATTAAAGAGTAAATAATTTGTCTATCAGTGCTTGGCCTTGCCGCAAAGCAACGCGTTCAGAGGCATATCGGTCTCAGTGAAAAGGCTGTGTTCGTTGTTCCAAACTCTGACATACAATTGCTGTCCCAAATACCTCCTAGACCAGATTGCAGACCTTAAATTCCACATACCCTTGTTGTCCAAAGACACTAAAACAGCACTCCATCCAGTTGGATATACCTGTCAATTTTGCACACCATGTAACATTTCAGTAATGATTAACGCAGGATTAAATCTCCGAAACTCTGCATAAATCGGATGATTATATCAGTACAAGTTGCTAAGTTTCAATTACCTGAACTGTGTGTCTTGATACAGCATCTACCAAATTGTAGCGTCTCCTCATATCTGGTGTCCAGTTACCAGAGCCATATCTGAACATTTGAAGTCCAACAAAAAGTATAAGGCAAATTATCAAAACAAGATAAGGTTTGAGCAATATTATGTTGTAGTTGTACACATTATAATTGTACATAGAGAGGCCTACCCAACAACATAGAAACTGTATCCATCAAGATGCCAAGATTGGAGAGTGGGCTCGGTGTTCTGGAAGATGATTTCCACGAAGTCATGAAGGGTGGTTCCTACAACAGAGGCGCCAAATACTGCAGGGCCTGGAGTAGGTGTGTCCTTGATTGTGCCCAAGTTGAAGACACCGGGGATGTTAAGCCAATCGGCGAGTTTTAATGGGGTTTCTGGATCAACATAGGAGATCTTATTTACAGCATATCGAAGCTTGCCACCGATCTTAGCAGCAGTGTTGGCCAAAACTAGTCTCCTGACAATTGGAATAGTTCCATAATGGAATGACCCCTGTGGGTTAGGCCGGGCTGCATTTGCTGTCAAATTCAATCTTCACGCACAAGAAAATAAAAACAGTTAGTTAGATGACTAGCAAATCATTAATCAAATACTGCTAGACAATGTCACATCATTTGGTATGTATGTATGCTTCTGAAAAAGGACAACCGAAAAGATCCCAAGAAAATTATAGCTACCTGATTGTCCTGGCTTGCTTCATAGACCAGTGAATGTGATAGGTTGGACCAATTGGCAATGGTCCTGAAGCAGGGGTGTTAGAACCAGCGTAACGGAGATATCCAGTGGTTGCGAGGATTGGCTTTGTGAATCGGGAAGAGGCAATGATGAAATAGTCCTTGAGTGAACCGTGCAAGGTGACCAAAACAGCTACAGATTGGCCTGGATGAACGTCAAGTGATTCATAGACCTCTTGCAAGGTATGAGCTCCTTCAACTTCAACAAGTGTCATTGTATGGCCCTGAATTCTAAAGTTAATTGAAGTTGCTATGCCAACATTTGAAACCCTGAACTTGTAGGTCTTTCCTGAAAGAATCCAACAAAACTTTGATTACAAAATCTTCAAATCTAATATTTATGGCATACAAACACTTTTGAGGAGGGCTAATATGGTTACCTTTTTCGCCAGTGAAGATGGCGGATTTATGATGCCCATTGATAAGAAGACCATCAGGAAGAGGAAGAGTCTTGCCAGAGTCCAAGGTTTGCTGCAATACCTGAAAACATAAGAGCATCCATCAGTAATCAGATCATTCTTCTTGATATAAACTTCTTCCTATTGTTCCATTTATGACAACATATTATGTTACTAGCCTGTAAATCTAGACCACTCCAACAACATTACATGTCATACTGTATAGCAAAACCGCATTTTCCTTGCTTCTTACAACATCCAAGCTCAAAAACAAAAAAAATTTGAAGTAAAAGAAAATGTGAAATGATCCATGATCTTAGAGTTACATACCTTGTGGCTGTTCTTGTACCAATCACTAACAAGCAGGGTAAATTCTCCAGCGGGAATTGGATATGGGACTGCTATCACAGACCTCTGTGCAATATTGAAACCCCCAAAACCACCAACAGCCCTGTGCAGTTTGGTTGAAGGGAAGTAGTTGAAGGTTCCAATCTGATCTTTGGCTTGAAACTTGTATGTCCAGTTTGTGTTTGGAGGAATCGGGCAATTTGTTCCCAGCACTCCGTCTTGCCAGGTGGTCTTTCGCTGTTTGATCCCGTTCCTGATTTTCACACAGAGCAGAAAATTAGTCCCATGAGGAGGAGCAAGCATCACAGAAGTTTTAAAAATTTACAACCATAACAACTACCAGCAAAAATTATCACCATGTAATGAGGAAAGGCTCATCCAACTTGTTAATGACATTAACGATTATGTTGTCATTGGTCACGGCTTCGATTGTTGGGCCAGGAAATTGACCATTGATAAGGATACCCTGCATAAATTAAACAGAACTTTTAAATTAATTAAGCACAAGAAATACAGAACAGAATTGGATGATAAATAAAAGGGTCAAAAGCCAAACCTTTTGAGGGATGCCCAATGGAGAAACAAGTCCATATGTAACTGTCCATGTATAATACAAATATGGGTCTTCTGCATTAATGATGCAGAAAGCACTCAAGCTAACCAATATTCCCACGAAAAAATGCAAGAAAATGGTTGGCCTCATTGTATCAGCTTCTATATATTAATCCTTCAAGTTTCAGATTTCTGCACAAATTAGAGAACATGTCCACACAAAAACTAATTAGTACCGAATACCGATTGGCGAAAGCAAGACAATCATAGTTGTGGAGTACATAGTTAGAAAGATGAATGTGCATACGTACTGAATCGTTGCCAATCTCCCCAAAGAGCAGAGGAAGATTGAAGTGCAAGTGTGTAGCCGTATGGTTGAGCTGTGCAAGTTAACAGATGGAGGGGCTTATATAAATGGGCAAGGAAAGGAAGCAGCCATGAAGAGCTTCGGGGGGCAATGCCAGCGTGGATATACGGATGTGCACGAAGACCGATGGGAAAAATCGAAGCTCATTTGCGGCGCACTTCATGCTCAAGCAGTCAGCTACCTGCATATGCTACTCATTCACAACTCATGATATTGGCTCACACATTATTGATGATTAATTATTATTTTTTCACATATTTGTATGTACACATAGTGTATAGAGTGTTTATACGCCTATGCTGCTATGCATGTTAGAGCTAATTAAGTGGAGTGGCTTATTAATTAGATTTAGTTTCTTGATGTTGCAAAAACCGACCAATGAATGAATGCTATTTTCTTTGTTTGATTTTTTTTTAGTGATGGAAATGTGTTGTGTACGTGAGGCTTGGTGTTGGTGGGTGGACTTTGGACGTCGGTGGCCGCGGTGGCGGGAAGGAGAGGAGATCAAAGAGGCAGAAAGCAAGCGGGAGCTGCGCAGCTTAGAACGGATCCATATTCATTGCAATTATATATATAAAGTTTTTTTTTTTTTTTTTTTTTTTTTTTTTTTTTTTTTAATTAATTTTGATTATTAGATTTTTCTTGATTTCTTGGTCTTTGAGGAGTTGATGATTAAATGGGGGTTTTAGATCTCTCGCAACCTCACATGACGAAAACAAGCAGAAAAGCGAAGACAATGGAAGGGCAGAGTGGTCAATTTCCAGCATGTCCTCTGTTTCTTCATCCCTGGCCTCTTCTTTCCCGCCCTGTTGGCCGTTTGAGTATTGACAGTTGAAGGGTGCAAGTTGGGCTTCTTCAGTCTCAAACAAGCCAACCCAACACACTTTGCTAGCTAGCTACTTGCAACTTTAGACCCTTTTCTTTTCATTTGAATGGGGAGTGATTCACGTTCATGATCTATACTAATGGTGTATCACATCACTAAAGAGTAACTACGAGTAGCAACTACAATTTTAACTTTTTAATACTGACCAGCGTGATACATAACATGATAATTGCTTATTGATTGTAAATAAATAAAAAATATCGTGAGTTCATACATAAGTAAAATGAGATATTACCATATCAGTTAGGATTTAAAAACTTAGGATATGAGTTCATAATTGGAGAGTATAAGGATGTCGTTATTTTCCTTACATTAAGGACAGTCTATTTGTAGGTTCTAAACCAATACTCGAACCTGTTCAACTTTAATGTTCTCTTTCAAAGATTATTCATGCAAAAGATCAGTTAAATTGGAAATTGTTTAGCTATCCAAGTATTCATATTTTTGTTTCACTTTTATCTAGCAAACTACATTTTTTGTGTATTTTAGATGACCAAACAAGTTTCAATATGGATGATTTTGTGTGTGTAGAAATAAAACTTGAATTGATGACCTAAAACATAGACAATTGCAATTGTTGAAATACGTTGTTGTGTAGCCCTAAGAAGGATGTGTGGATATCTCGTACAAATAAATGCACCCTTAACATAACCGTATGACTTAGTGTCATGAAGTTATTATAACTAGAAGCGAAGTGAACTAACCTAACATGTGTGAGTTCATAGATGCATAGTCAATTTAAGGGAGAAGGGTGCAGAATATAGAGACTACTGGTCCAAGTGAGCCTACATCTTACCCTATGAGACATGGTATAGACTAGTGTATTGATCAAAATTATGTTTCATACGTACGACAATAGAAGTCAATGGAAGAAAATATGTTACATTGATAATTTAGGACATTGAGAAGTCAATTTTTATGACATTATTGGTTGTATTTTAAGTCTATTTGTAAAAGGATATATAGAGCATGTACTTGGTAGATTTAGAATGCTACACTAAACAATTAAACATCTATTTTTGACAATTAGACTGTGTTTATAAATTATACTTTTAAATATCCTCCAACCAATTGAACAGATTATTAATGTTAGTATGAACACCCTCCTGGTACATGAAGTGTAAAGTCAATGAAAAGCTTTTTTGATGGGCAAGTCAACTTTTAGAATAGAATTGGCAATGGATCCCAAGAACAGATCTCATGGGGAAAACAAGAACAAGATCCATCTTCTAGCTTTTGTTAAATAATATGATTTGGGGGCATATCCAGGTGTTAACTTACACATGGCACGTACGTGGAATTCAATTCCAACACACGAGACATTCAATTCTCATCATGTGCCAATCATGGGATTTTTAAGCCTCTCCCTTCAACGTTCATACCAATTACTATAAAACGACAGAGAGACTTGCAATTTGCGCCAACCAATTACTCGACTGCTCTCTCTCTCTCTGCTGGTTAACTTGGGGCCATGCAGAAAGAGCACAAGGTTAGTATACAGTTCCCTCCAATGTGACAATTATTTCATATTCTCATAAGTGCACCAAATAATTTGAAGTTCAATTCAATCATTATAAACATAGGTCAAAAGTTCTTGTAGGTTTATTACTTATATTAGGTCGTCTAATTCCGAATTTGGGTAAAATAAGTGTTCTCAAAGCTTTGAGCAGTGGCAGAACAATTCACCTCATTTTTTGTTATTTTTTCCTCTTTTTACTAAATTCTTCCAAACTTAAGCTTTGGGCTTGATCAAGCCCGGGCTGCATGCACAAGGATTCTAGAAAACTATCTCATTTTGGTTATGTTTTTTTATATTTAGAATAAGCGATAATTGTGTTCATAATTTAGGCATCAAGATTATCCGCCACAAATGCATAGACTACTAAAAAAGGATTAATACAAATGTAGAAGCACAATAGCCATGCATGATTATTCCAGATACAGAGACATACACCACAAGGTATATTTCCAGTAATAATGATATAAAGCCAAATAAATTTCGGCTTAAAAAGCCGCAAGAATGAACAAATCAAACATTGACTGCAAGCCTCATTTTGGTTCAGCTGATTGTGTTGCTAAGCTTTGAATATTTGACCCAAAAAAGGCTTTGAATATGCTTTTGAATTCAAGTAAAATGCTTTGGGGAAAACAAAAATCAGTTTAAGCTTCACCATGAAGTTTTCTTTTGTTTAGTGGGTTACTTTCGGCCGATCAATTGGGTTATGCTATGAGCCAACAGTTTAGCCCTCAATAGCTGCATTTTGAAACATCGTCCAGCCCATGTGCAGCCTGGATTTAAGAGCAACTCTTTCCTTTTGTCCCAGAGGATCTGCGAAAAGCAAGCCCGCCCTTGGATGACCTACTAGGCTCATGGGACAGGAACCAAGCAAATTTTTATTTTTATTTTTATTTTTTTTAGTACTCATATTGGGTAATCAATTAGAGTGCAATTGTGTTTATCGCCATCTTTAATCATGACCATCTCATGTGCAATGTGATAATAAGTTAATAACTACAGTTAAACTTTCACAATGGTGATGGGTGATTAGTGGACACCATAATTACTAGTTGAGTAGTAAATGGTGAATCATAATTAAAAATGGTGAGCAAATATAAACTCGTACATTTTTCATCGATCATTTTAAAATGAAACATAAATAATAATAAAATAGCAAAAAACAAAGTTTATACCTTAAAAATATATATAATTAGAGATTATATAACCATAGCATACAATATTTTCCCGCACAAAGGCAAAGGAAAATTCATCTAAATTTAGAATTATACAACTAAATATGAAAAAGAAAACATTAAATAAGAATCTTCTCTTTTACTTTCCTTTCTGAAACATGTCTTCACTTCAGTCAAACTTTCATGACTCAAGAATTAGGCGCCGAAGAATTCAAGGTCATTCTATGGGTGCCGGCCAAGAGCTTTGCCACACAGAAGAGTATTTGAAGGAATGTTATATTCATTAGCAAGGCTGCGGGCAGGATTCCAAACCCTGAGATAAAACTGTTGACCAAGATACTGCCTTTCCCATATAGCAGATCTCAAGTTCCACATACCTTGGTTGTCTAGGGACACCAATATTGTGGTCCAAGAGTTTGGATACACCTTCAAAAACAAAACAAAAAAGATTACATTTTAGTTAACCAAAATTTGAAGCTAATTTGGAAGGTCCTACAAGTAAGCATATGCTGTAATTTCCAGGCTCTCTTTTACCTGAGCAGTATGTCTGGTAAGAGCATCAACTAAATTGTATGTTCTTCTCTTGGCTGCTGTCCACTGTCCGAAACCATAGCTGCATTTGTTCAAACAATAAAGATTTTAGTCTACCCGTTGATCTCACAAAAGCTTAAAATGCAAGAAAGCACATTTGACATACCCAACAACCCAGAAATCATAGCCATCTAGATGCATAGATTGGAGGGTATTTTCATTGTTTTGGAAAACAATTTCGAGGAAGTCATGGAGTGAGGCTGGCACTACAGGGGTAGCTATGAATGCGGAGCCACTGGAGGGAACGGTTTGGATGGAATCAGAGCTGTAGACACCAGGGATGTTAAAATAATCAGCAAGCTTTAGAGGGGTATCGGGGTTCACGTAGGAGACTCTGTTGAATGCGTAACGCTGCTTTTCATTTATCGAAGGTGCTGAATTGGCTAATATAATTGTCTTTGTTGTGGTGACTTTGCCATAATGGTATGAGCCCTGAGGATTAGGCCTGGCTGCATTTGCTGTCAAATTCCACCTGCAAGAAAAAACCAAGTTCAAATTACCAAACTAAATCATTACAGTCTAAAGTCCAACACATCTAAGGCTCCTTTTGTTTGAATAATCTTTAATAAATACCTGAAAGTTCTGGCTTGCTGCACAGACCAATGTATTTGGTAAG